TGAAATCCCCTATACAAATTAATATGCTATGCTGGTTTTGTACAATTTGTCGATTTAGGACATTTTAAAGCTGTATTCGAAATCATTAAATGTTAAGTGGCTGTTCTAAATGCTGAATGACACGTCCTTTCCATCAAAGTCCTGATTTACAAAACTGAATAGCCAGGTACATGCAAAAGGACTGCAGTTGATAATGCTTTAATTTTAGAATATCACTCCAATGTATTTCATTTTCCTGGCTTTCTCTTACTGCAGCAAAACAGAGTTCAGTCTTTCCTAAAGCAGTCTTATAATTCCTTTTTCAGTTATGAATTCTGTATAACTGACAGCTCAAAACATTATCTGCCATCAATTAATACATTATATAAAAGGCCAAACTATTCCCTAACATAATAAGGAAATCATAAGATTGTTGTTGTTCATCTGTTCAGTCGCTTCTGACTCTTTGTGACCTCATGAACAGGCCCATGCCAGAGCTCCCTGTCAGCCATCACCACCCCCTGCTCCTTCAAGGTCAAGCCAGTCACTTCAAGCATGCCATCCATCCATCTTGCCGTCTTCCTTTTTCCTTCTGTTTTCCCCAGCATAATTGTCTTCTCTAACTTCTATTTCCCCAGCATAATTGTCTTCTCTAACTTCTATTTCCCCAGCATAATTGTCTTCTCTAACTTCTATTTTCCCCAGCATAATTGTCTTCTCTAATCATAAGATAGTCACATAATTTCTTTTATGTCAAAGAGATCCATGTAACTGGGCTAAATCCAGTTGATTGTTTCAACTAGAGTAGACCAAATGAACTAATGAGGACTTGGAATATAAACACAAATTCTGTTGATCCAATGGGCCTACTCTAATAAGGAGTAATAATTAGATTTACTTTACTGCCTTTTTGTTTGGCACTTGGTATGTCAATAAAGAAAATGCCTGGAAAAATTAATTTGCACATCTGAAGGGCTCAGTTACAAAAATTTCACATAAACTTGACATACCCACTATACTGATATATAATAACAGGAATCCTTCTGATTATATCATAAACACTGGTTTGGTAACTTGCTCATTTTAGGAGTGGGTAGAAACTGTAAACAGTGAGCATCTGCAGCCACAAAACAGACTAGTATGCATTTACATTAATATAGATGTGACCAGAATTCAACTCACTTGGAAGGTTGGGAAACATATACATTAGAAACCTTTAAGTAGGTAGTCTGGCAAATCTAATTACAATAGTACCATTTAGACAGAAGCTAGATAAACAGGACAGCTAATTAATTTCATAACTGTTTATTACGCTATAAGGCTTTTCCATTAGTCTTGTCTTATTTTCTCTGACTGGAAACATCAATCAGATGTTTTGGGCACAGGTCTTTTCCAGCCTAATTTTGCTCCCTGATGTTTTTTTAACTGGATATGGCTGGGATTGAACCTGGGACAAAACCAGAGGATTTTCTATGGAGCTGTAGATACAATTTATATAATATATATTATGATACGTGCATGCAGGTAAGTCTTGTGTGGTTTTCAAGAGCCTGTGCAAAACCGGAACCATCTGCTGTTGAGGTAGCATTCTCATAGCCTTCTCACCACTACGCTACTGCTTGCAGTCTCTGAGCATTTCCACTCTGCTTCTCTCATTCTCCACTTCCTCCTCCCACACTCCACAAACTGTAACTGCCTGAGAGACTGGCTCACTGCTGCAGACATGCAAAATTATTATTGTCTATGCAGTGTTTCTCTACCTCAGCCGCTAGCACAAAGAACAGTTCCAAAACTCACCATACATTCCCCTGGATCTGGATTTTCAGAAGTGCTAAATTAAGGAATAAGACAAACTACAAATCAAAAACTCCTAAATAAGGAGAAACAGAACTACAACTGTGATATAGTCACACTCACTCTGTGAATCACGAGCTATGACTAGTACTAATGTAGAATCTGACTGTCCTTGAAAGAAAAGGTTTTAAGCCATGATGTTTAAAAATTATCTTTCTCCCCTTCCCCACAATGCTAAACACTTATAGCAGTTCTGAATACTGAAGTTGTATAGAACACATCATTTCTTGTTTACTGAGACCTTAACCTTACATTCCCACTGCTACCTTATCTTCCCTTTCTCTCTTTGTGCAAAAATATATGAAACAAATGATTCAATGTTCTGAATAATACTTCACTGTGCAACCAAGGCAAAGGATGCCAATATGTAAAACTGGCATAGTCGTTGAAATAGAGTGAGTTTTGTCTGGCTCAGGACACAATAAATGTAAAGACTGATTGCATATGATAGGACTTAAATATCCTAAAGGCACCAGATCCCCATCCAATCTTGGAAATTATAGGAGAGCAGCCCTGGTAGATTTTTGGATGGGAGACCACCAACAAATACCAGGTGCTGTTAGCTATATTTCACAAGAGAGAACTGGCAAAATTATCCTAAGAAAATCCTATGAAATTCATGGGGTTACTGTTAAGTCGAAAAGATAAGACAGACATATATATTCCGTGCAGCAGCTCAAAGCCTCCCAAAAAAAAAAATGAATCCCCATTATTAATGCTTTTCATCTACTTTTCTGTTTCATGTTCACAATGCAGAGCTTCACTAAAACGTAAGAAGATGGTGCTTGGTTGTCACTTTTTGTGGCTACAATTTGCGAGTACTGCAGGCAGTTGGATATTACAGAACTGTTCTCAGACTCTGACAGACCCAAAAACCCATTTCAGCTAGAAAATATATGCTTATTTCTGTTTACTAGGAGCCCGCAGTGGAGCAACAGGTTAAACCTTTGTGCCAGTAGAACTGCTGACTGAAAGATTGGCGGTTCAAATCTGGGGAGCGGGATAAGCTCCCATCTGTCAGCTCCAGCTTCTCATGCAGGGACAGGAGAGAAGCCTCTCACAGGATGGTAAAACATCCTGGCATCCCCTGAGCAATGTCCTTGCAGATGGCCAATTCACTCACACCAGAAACGACTTGCAGTTTCTCAAGTCGCTCCTGACACTAAAAAAGAACCCTCTGCTTACTACAGTACGATTTTTAATAGCAAGCACTGGCACATTGAAGTGCACATTTTGGGTCCAATAAAAGAACTGCATTTCTACCAAAGTCGTTTGATTGAAAATCAAAAGAAGCACCCTTTGGATTTCAGCCTTTGATATAGTTCCTTGCAACACTGTTTGGAAAACTTACAAGTCAAGACTGCTCTAAGCTCTTTGAATTTGTCCCCTCAATGACACTGCCAACACTGGAAGGAAAAAAAATAGGACACTTGCTCAAGCAAGTAAAATCAGACAATGTCTAGAGAAAGCAGCAGCTTCTGTTTTCACAATGGCAGCATTTCCTACATTTAAAAGTTGTTGTACCGTCACTATATCTGGATGAAAACTGCTGCACAGGCAGCCATCTGAGAAATTGCGACAATTTAAAAGCAAGCTTTCAAAGCCTTACTCACAAGAGTAGCCTTGAACCTCAGTATTGAACGTGTAATCATAGCATTCTCATCAGGAATAGAAATTCACAAAATGAGGGGTTTTTAATTTGCCATTACTGTGCACAGAGTGCTGCTGAAAAGAATGACTAACTAGCCCTGGGTGAACTGTGTGGGAATGTGGGGAAGAATGCATTGCTGCCTTTATTGAAAAGCTCAAAACGATGGCTAAAAGAAAGATTTCAACCTGATACCTACTCATGGCCACTTCCCTTGGGGAAAATTGAGGTGTGGCATATATGCTTGAATGTCTGGTGTCCCTTGTCATAAAGAACAGCTTCTTATTCTATCTCAAAACAACTCTGCACTTGCAGCATATTTCACACATCAGTACTCTATAAAGAACTCTGCTGGAAAGGTACAGCAGCACTACAAAGCCCTTTATATGATAATTTTATTTGTTTGCTCTGGAAATCCAAAATATAAAATGGAATTGTAAGCTTCAATTTGTCCCTAATGCCTTTCTCTATTGAGATGCTGATCCTCAGCTGCACATGTTCTGACAATGTGGCACGCATTTGATAACTTTAAAAGAAATATTATAGGAATGTAAAGATAGAGAACACTTGAAACTCATAAATCCCAAGCCCCACAGCACAATGGCAAGGTGCCCTTTTGCTTGAGCACTGAACACCCTGCACCTTGTAAATTGCTATATGCCACACAGCAAAGAATATATCTGTCCAATCTGAAATCCTTCTGTCAGATCAACTCACATTTGTCTTATGAAAAAAAGGGGATTTTTTTTAAAAAAAAACCTGAGATTATGGAAGAATGATAGAAATGGACACTAAGAGATGAGAATATCTCTAGAACATTTTCACACACAATACTATATCCTATGAAGACTTACCTGGAAACAAATCCTATTTTTACCTAATACTGTTACTTACATTTCAGTCAGCAGATATAGGAATGCATCAGACTGATGCTTGAGAAATTAACAGATATTCAATATCTTCTAATCCATCTTGGGGAGATGGGGCAAAATATAAATAAAGTATTATTATTATTGTAACAGCGCTCCATGCAGGTCATGCCAGCCACATGACCTTGGAGGTGTCTACGGACAACGCCGGCTCTTCGGCTTAGAAATGGAGATGAGCACCAACCCCCAGAGTCGGACACGACTCGACTTAATGTCAGGGGAAAACCTTTAGCTTTACCTATTATTATTATTATTATTATTATTATTATTATTATTATTATCCTTCTCTAATTTGGTTCCCTTCAAAAGTGCTGGACTGCATATTCCAACATCTCCAGATTGGTCATGGTTTCTAGGAATAGTGACATCTGGAGAAAAGTGTTCTGGGAAGGCTGTTGAAAATTTATCTAAAGAGATAAGGCAAAATATCCAAATGGATGTAGATGGATTTTTATTATATTCAGACATTACAGTTATTCCCGGCTACAGCAAAGCCACATCAAGGTAATTAAAATACATTTGCACCTACAATTTTCCACACTCCCCACAAAGCCCCACAAACAAAGCCCCCAAAGTGATCAGATACATACCACATTTGTCACCAGAATCATCAAACTCCACATTGAAGGAGTGTCCATTGTTGACAATGCTTTTGACTGCAGATGGGTCATAACTAAGGTTGAGGGACTTCAGCGATGCGTCGTATTTGCATGACTTATGCTGGATGTCGATCGGAGATTGCCGTTCTCCATTGGCAATGGGACAGTTCTCATGCCAGTGAGCAGGTCCTGCAAAGAGAGACAGAAAAAAAAAGAGAGAAGAAAGCACAGGTTTAAAGCACCAACTAAACAAACAGCAGGGAAATGACTGATGGAAGAAAAAACCTTAGCAGAGGCCCCAATGCTTCAAGTGTACTTGGAAGCCTTTGGTATTTTTGCCACATTAATATTGGATGTAAGAATGAAATGATCTTGGCTGGCTGGAATTACAAGCCTGAACTACTAGACAGAGGCAGCTTGGGATCCGTAAGCTTGGATCTCGGCTTGCATGAATCTAGGAATCTAAGGTGAAAGGCTGAAATGAAAACAGTAGCCTGCCTCTGCCTTTTTTTGCTTGTGAGAATAAGAAAGGAATCAAGCTAAAAAATATTGGAAAAGGCTACCAATCTCACAACTTTTCCAGGAGGAATGGACACACCATTTTCATAGAAGGGGAAGTGTACAAACACACACACACACTACATAGGATAATTGAGGGCTCTCATATCTCTGTGGGCATGACAAGTTGCCTAGCAAAGCAATGATGTGGCTGGCAAATTCCCACTCCGTTCTCTATCAACATTCCAGATGTAAATTTAGAAATATCCCCCTCCCACATTTTGCAAATATGGGAGAAGGTTTATTCTTACTGCCACAACCTTCACTTGTTGATTTTTTTTTTCATTTGGGACAAATGTGGTAGGTTTTATTTTGGAAACAAAAAAGGAATGAAAGCATGGTTCTGGCACAGGTGAGAAAAAGCTTGCTTCTCAAATCTCCCTGCGATTTCCCTGATATTCTACACATCCCCATCTCCCGCACCGTAGTGATTTGTAGGGGACAGGAAAGGAAATCCCTTTTCTTTAAACATGCAAAGCCCTTTTCTGGGAATGTCTGCTCAGGAGAGTATAAATGCTGCTGGAGATCATAGCCAGCTGTGAAGCAAGAGCGGGGAGAGCCAGGTAAGACTTGTAAATCAGGGAAAGAAGAGTCTACAGATCTTCTTTCCTCCTTTGATGAGAAGGATGGAGGAATGCGTCCCAATGTCCTTCTCCCTGGTATTCTCTTCCTCTCAAGAACTCCCCTGAAACTGGGACTGTCCCAGTTCAGATCAAGCAGCAGGAGGAAATGAGAGGCATCTTGACTTTACATTGAGCAATGCAGGGAGAACTACATCATTACTCTGGCTTGTTGGCTTTTGTGATCTTATGTGTGGGAAGAGCCAGCATTGTGTTAAACTACAGGTGGATCTCCATTGTAGAATGAATGTCATGGCTCAACTCAATGGAATCCCAGTTGTCATTGTTTTAGGTCTTTACCCTTCTCTGACAAAGAGTGCCGGTGCCTCCCCAAACTACAAATCCCTGGAGTCCATGGTAGTTAAAGTGATGCCAAGCTGCTGTTACTCAACAGTGTAGGTACACCCTATGATTCAGGAGGCCAGGGTTTGGTTCCTCATTCAGACAGGGAGACCCACCAGTGACTTTGGGCAATTTTCTGTCTCTCACTGTAGAATGAATGCAGTAGGACAGCACTTTAACTGTCATGGTTGCATGCTGAAAGTGGTCTGCTACTGGTCAAAGGACATTTAGCATAATGCCAAGTTTTTAAACTTTGTTTCTGGTTTTAAATACATTACAACTGTACCCTCAGTTCGCTTCTGACACGATAAATAAATAACTGCCATGGTTCAATGCTATGGAACAGAAGGAGTTGTAGCTCTACAAGGACTTTAATATGCTAAGAGGGTAGGTGCTTCACCAAACTACAACTCATATTATTCCGTAGCATTGAGCCATGGCTTTTTTGGGGGTGTCAAACTGCATTCATTGCAGACTAGATCAGGCATGGGTAAACTTTTGCCCTTAAGTGGCTGAGGGGAAGAAGGAAAGGACCCGAGACTGTTAGGAATTATGGGAGCTGAAGTCCAAAACACCTGGAGGGCAAAAGTTTGCTCATGCCTGGACTAGATGCACCCTACGATTCTGGAGATCAGGGTCTGACTCTCCATTGCTCAGACAGAGAAACCCATGCAGGACCTTGGATGAGTCCCACTCTCTCAGGATGCATTTCCAATGGAGAATGAATGCAGTTTTGACACAGCTCCCATGGCTATGGAACCATGGGGGCTGTAGCTTTGCAAGCTCTTTAGTGTTTGTGCTGCACCAACCTACAATCTCAATTATTGTGTAGCACTGAACCATAGCAATTAGTGGTGTCAAACTGCATTAATTACAGAGTAGGTGCACCTGAAGACTCAGGGCGAGCAGGGTTGGAATATTCTGATCAGCGTGTTTTTTTTATGCTGGTCAGTGCAGGTGTGTCCTGAGTGACCTTTGGCAAGTCTCATTCTCTCAGCCTCAGAGAAGCAAGATCTTGGTGAAGTCACCATAAGTTGTAAAGGACTTTGGAAGTCAGGCACCCAAGAAGACTAAGAAATGTGGGAGCAGAAGCCACGGGAAGGCACTTTTGAGGAAGTGTAAAAGCCCGTCAAAAAGGATGTGCGGATGCTGAAGAGCTTTGGGGGTGCTGAAAAGCTTTGGGGGTTCTGGAGAGTTTTGGGGATGCTGAAGAGCTTTGGAGATGCTGAGAAGCTTGTGGGTGCTGAAAAGCTTTGGGTATGCTGAAGTGCTTTGGGGGTGATGGTGAGCTTTGGGGGTGCCAGAGAACTTTGGGAAGGCTGAAGACCTTTGGGGGTGCTGAGGAGCTTTGGGGATGAAGAAGACCTTTGAGGAGCTTTGAAAATGAAGAGCTTTGAGGATGGAGAGCATTGGGGATGCAGAAGTGCTTTGGGGTGCTGAAGAGCTTTGGGAATGCTAAAGATCTTTGGGGATGCTGAAGAGCTTTGGGGAGGCTGAGGAGCTTTGGGGGTGCCAGAGAGCTTTGGGAAGGCTGAAGAGCTTTGGGGGTGCTGAGGAGCTTTGGGGATGAAGAAGACCTTTGATGAGCTTTGAAGATGAAGAGCTTTGGGGATGGAGAGCATTGGGGATGCAGAAGTGCTTTGGGGTGCTGAAGAGCTTTGGGAATGCTAAAGATCTTTGGGAATGCTAAAGATCTTTGGGGAGGCTGAAGAACTTCGGGGATAATGAAGAGCTTCGGGGAGGCTGAGGAGCTTTGGGGAGGCTAAGGAGATTTGGGGATGCTGAAGAGCTTTGGGGATGCTGAAGAACTTTGGGGATAATGAAGAGCTTTGGGGATGCTGAGGAGCTACCTCAGGAGAGGCAGCAGGAGCAAGAGCAGGTGGTGCTTGGGGAAGGACCCCTGAGGCGCTTCCCTTGCGGGATGTCAACCCCGGGAGAGCTCCCTTCAGGTCAGTAAGGGCGAAGCGGGCACGGGCCAGCAGGGGACTCCTACTCACCGTTGTCCTTGCCGTATCCCCAGGACATGGTGAAGGAAGCCTTGGCTCAGGTAAGCTGCTGCTGCTGCTGCAGTGGTAGTCTTGGGAGAGGTGCGTGCTCCGGCTGGGCTGCTTGACAGTAGTGTGGGCTCCAGTCCTGCTCAGGGGTTTTTATCCTCTCCGGCCAACTCCATGCCCCGCGTGGACATGGCTGAGGGGAGGGGGAGGGCAGGGGGAAGGGGCAGAGCCAAGGCAGGGGGGCGGGGAAAGAGAGAGGGAGAAGGAAGGAGGGAGGGAGAGAGGGAGGGACACGCGCAGAGAGGGAGAGGGAGAGGGAGGAGAGGCAAGGCGCACTCCGCCGCCGCCACCGCTGCCGCTTTCGCTTCGCCTTCGTCGCCGGGGCTCCGTCTCCGTCAGAGGAGCCGCAACAGCGGGCAAGGCGGCGCGTCACTCCCTCCTCCACTCCCTCCCTTGTCCCCGGGTGGGTCGGCCATCAGGCCTCAGGGTGGGGAAGGAAGGAAGGAGGGAAGGAGCCAGAGAAGACGTGGCCGCCGCTCGGCTGGGCTCGGCTGCAAAGGGATGCCTGGGCCGCGCGCGCAGAACCCCATCCCTCCCACGCGCCGCGCGAGAAGGCAAGGCAAGGGAAGGGAAGCCCTCGCGGGAGTGACCTTGGGGCGGAGAGGGAGAGGAAGGAGAGCCTCCCAAAAGAGAGAGGAGGAGCAGAGCGGGATTCTTTAAACCTGGAGGAACCAGGCTAGGAGGCGGCAGTAGACGCTGGAGAATAGGATCCGAAGCCCTGCTGGGCCGTGGCAACCTCCTGGGTGACCCGAAGCGAGGTGGCGCGCCCTCGCCCTCAGGAAACCCCTGATAAGGCTCACCCTGACTGGGAAGTGCTCTTCGGCCCAGGAAAGCCCTGATAAGGTCACTTCTAGGGTCACCCGAAGTCAGGAGCGCCTTGACTTCCTGAGAAGGTCCTTTGAGGGCAGGCATGGGCCAACTTTTGGCCCTCCAGGTGTTTTGGACTTCAACTCCCACAATTCCTAACAGCCTACCTGAGAAGGTCCCTTTAGGGCAGGCATGGGCCAACTTTTGGCCCTCCAGGTGTTTTGGACTTCAACTCCCACAATTCCTAACAGCCGGAAGGCTGTTAGGAATTGTGGGAGTTGAAGTCCAAAACACCTGGAGGGCCAAAAGTTGGCCCATGCCTGCTTTAAGGTCACACCATAAGTATAAAACACTCTTAGCACCAGGAAGCCCCATGATAGGGTCATTTTAGAGTCACCATAAATCAGGAACTTCTGTCCTTCCAGAAAACTCTGTGGTGAGATCATTTTAAGGTCACCGTGAGTGAGAAACACTTTTGACCATGACAGAGTCACTATAAGTCAGAATTGCCATCACTTCCAGAAAACCCAGTGATAAGGTCCCTTTAAGGTCACCATACATGGGAGATGCTCTTAGGTTTCTTTAGGGTCACCACAGTTCAGAAACAGTTTGACCCCTAGAAAACCCTGTGATAGGGTTGTGAAAGCTTCATTACACTAGAGGGGAAAAAATCCACTTAAAATCCAGTTTCTACCTCCTGCAGAATTCTGGAGTTTGTAGTTTAGTGAGGCAGTTAAAGGCTTCTCCCTAAACTACAAACGCCAGAATTCTGCAGGAAGCAGAAACTAGATTTAAAGTGGATCCATTCTCTAGTGTGATGAAGTGGCCATGAGATATATTCTTTGACCCAGAAGAAGGTTGGTTTAAGGTCATTGTAAATAGGTAAAAACTCTTAGCCCAAGAAACCACCAGATAGGGTCACATTAGGGTCATTTAAATGGAAGATTTTTGACTTCCAGAGAACCCTGTGATAGGGCTGCTGTGAGTGGGATGAACCCTCAGCCACAGAAACCCAATGATAAGGTCACTTAGGGTCACCATCATTGAGAAGCACTTCTAACCCCAGAAAATCCCATGATGGGGTTACTTTAAAAGAGACCTGTGTATATAGATATCAGAATGTGTGTTATGCAATGTGTTTTTTTATTTGTTTTGGTTAGGGGAATGATGATAATAATAAATATAAATATTTGTACCCCACCACCATCTTCCCGAAGGGACTCAGGGCAGCTAAGAAAGCACTCCAAAGTGCCGCAAATACAATAAAAACAATTAAAAAGATATAAAAGCAATAAAAAGCAATAAGCAGGCCGATGTTGTGCTCTTGTATTATGTAATTTTTGTTTTTTAACCATTTGGTCATTGCCTTGACTCCCACCCATGGGAGAAAAGCAGGATATAAATAAATAAATAATAATTTATCCTTAGAAAACCCCATGATAGGATCACCATAAGTCAGAAGCACTTTCATGTGCAGGGTAAGTGGGATATAAGCCCCATATGATAAGGCTGTCTTAGGGGCACCATAAGTGAGAAACACTAGTAGCCCCAGAAACTCCAATCATAGGGTCACTTTAGGGTTGCCATCTGTGGTAAACATGTTTTGTTGCAGAAAACCCCATGATGGGAGTGGATTTAGAAGTGGGAAACACTTTTAGCCCCAGAAGGCACTGTGATAGGATCAGTTTAAGGCCATCCCTGACATAGTCACCATTTCTCCTTAAAACTCTGTGATAATTACTATATGTAGGATATCCTTTATAGCCCAAGAAAACCTGGTTATAAGGTTGCTTTAGGGTCATCATAAATTAAAAACATTCTTAGTCCAATAATATCTCATGATAGGATCACTTAAGGGTTGCTATAAGTCAGAAATACGGTTACTTCCAGAAAACCCTATGATAAGGTCATTTTAGGGTCACCATAAGTTGGAAATGATCTTAACCCCAGAAACCCCTGATAGGATTACTTTAAGGTCACCATAAGCAGGAAACACTTTAGCCCCAGAAAACCCCATTATAGGCTTGTTCTAGGATCACTAGAAGTTAGAATCACTCTTGAACCTAGAAAAACTTGTGATAGGGTTTGTCATAAGTTGGAAACCATACTGGCCTCAAAGACTCTTGATAGAGTCACTTTCTAGGGTCTCTATAGGTTTGAAACACTCTTAGCCTCAGAAAACCCTTGACAGGGTCATCAAAAGTGGAAGAAAACCCACTTCAGAAAACCACATGATAGAGCCTGTTCAGGATAACCTGGTAACAAGGTCCACCATAGGTCAGAAACATTCTTAGCCCCAGAAAACCCCATGATAGGGTTACTTTTGGGTCACTATGAGTTGGCAACACTCTTCGTCCCAGAAACCCCCTTCTAAGGTCACTGTAAGTGGGAAACATTTATAACTTCAGAAAACTCTTAGGGTCTCCATAAGTCAGAAATGATTTGAAAGCACAAAATAACAACAGCTCAGTCAGTGCCTACCCAGCCACAGGGTCATTATATTCTTGTCCTGTTTGTGGGCTTTTCTTGGGACCATGGGGCAAGATGCTGGATAATATTATTTAGTATGCTATAGAGCAGTGGTTCTCAACCTGTGGGTCTCCAGATGTTTTGGCCTTCAACTCCCAGAAATTCTAACAGCTGGTAAACTGGCTAGGATTTCTGGGAGTTGTAGGCCAAAACATCTGGGGACCCACAGGTTGAGAACCACTGCTATAGAGAATATTTTCTTGCATTCTGGAGAAAAAACCCCAACAGTCCTCTCTTGCAGCAATTCACCTGCTGCTGAAGTGATCTGGTCAACACTCTTGAGATGCTCTGAGCTGCTTGGGCTAATATAGCTTCCAGCTGCCTTATAAAGGATAAGCTGATGCTTAATTGCTGCAGACAGCGGAAAAGAGGCCTGTGTATTGAGATATCAGAAAGAAGCTGGTTTAGTAAGTGAGTTAGGAACTGTTTTGACAAGTTTCCATAGTAAATATCCACTGTAATTATACTCTTCCAACTTTCTGGAGAGTGGCTTCAGGGATAATGGAATATCTGGATGGGAACTTCAAAATGCCAACTATCTTGAGTATAAACTATTGCCCTACACAAAAACTAAGGCCCCTTCCACACAGCTGAATAAAATCCCACATTATCTGCTTTGAACTGGAATATCTGGCAGTGTGAACTCAGACAACCCAATTCAAAGCAGATATTCTGGGATTTTGTGCCTTGATATTCTGGGTTATAGGGCTCTTCCACGCAGCAATATAATCCAGATTATCAAGGCAGATAATCCGCAATATCTGCTTTGAGCAGGGTTATTTGAGTCCACACTGTCATATAATCCAGTTCAATGTGGATTTTATACATCTGTGTGGAAGGGGCCTAAATGTGTTGGAATGCAAGGTTACTTGCTGACTCTTTGTTCGACTGAATATGTATTCACATTTATCCTGAAAATAAACTACGGCTATTATTTTCTGTTTCTTTTGTTATACTTATTAGTATATATCTTGATTTTTCTGAGTTATGTATTTCTATGTTATTTATCTTTTTTCTATTACAGTATTCTTAGTTTAAATATTAGCTTTAATTTCAGTTGGACAGCATATAATAGATACTCATTTTCCAGCTAAGTTGCTCACTTAGATGCAAACAACTTCCAAAAGTGCATAAGGAAGACACAGTGTCTTTTTTAAAAAATTAACAGATTTGAACACTAGTGCAGTGAGAAGCACTCACATATATAGGCACATACACTTTGCCACTCAGATACTGATTTCCTTTAAAACAGACTGCCATACTTCTTGAAAGGCTTTTGCATGTACTATGTTTTTTCTCCTTAGCATTTGTCTCAGATGGATAAACTGTAAACTATGCAAGTGCTGAAAAGTCCAGTTGAGAGCTGTATACAAAATCCAAATAAAACAAAATTATATAGGTATGTGGCTAGCATCCTGCATTTACCTTTATAGTAAATAACAGGTTCTGCAGGCTCTTCATGGAAGGAGGGTTATTCAGGGGAATTAACAAAATGACTGGCAGCATTAAACGAGACTAAAATGTGTCATGTGGACTTTCATTACTTTTATATGTCAGCATTTTTAGCAATTTTCACTTTGGAGGAATTTTTTTTTTGCAACATTCCTCCAAAAACCTTCTTTTTCGTGTAATACATTGTAGAAATATAAATGTAGGTCATAGTTTAAATTGATCTAAGGCCCAACTGAATAATGTAATTGAATAATAGAAGAATAGCTTCTTATGTCTATGCTACAAATGGGATTAAGGACCATTTGGTCTTTGTCTGCAAAAAGAAAAGTG